TGTTCGACAGCCTCTTCAGTCGCCGTACCTATGACCCTTCAAAGTGCTACGCCGCGCGAATAAAACGTACACCATTGACCGCGGTGGCCGACGCAAAGTTGTCACCATCGACCGTCTAAAACCCGCCTTTATAGAAGAAACCACCATGCCTACTTCGTCTAGTAGTGCTTCGTGCGACGTCACAACCCACCGCACCAGCTTACAGAATCCTAGTGCAGTTCAACCAGACCACGATCTCGGTCTACAAGCTTCAGCCGTCCCGTGATCTCCCGAATCTAGCCCGCCACCACCCAAGACCAATCGCCGTGGTCGGGAGGTGCGTAAGCCGGTTCGTTTCTCCGACTATGTACAGTGGAAATACGTTTAGGTTTGTAGACATAGTATATATTTAACCTGTTTTAAATGACTAACGTTTAGAAAACAAACAAAAATATCAAAAACCGAAAAACCACTTTCTAAAGAATATTTAAAAACAAAAAAATCTAAACACGCAGAGCATTCGTTCCTTCCTTCTGGCGTTTTCTGAGCGTGGTTTTTATTCTCTCGTCTCTACACGTCTAAACCCTCCCCTTCGATCGACTGGCCCACACAAGCACTGATTTCGAGGACTCTGATGCCAACGCTGGTCGTTTCTCCGCGGGACGGGTGTCGTTACTTCGTGGGACGATGGTCGCTTCTTCGTGGGACCACGGTCGTTTCTCCGTGGGACGAGGGTCGTTTTGACGCGGGGCGCGGGGAGGGGGGGAGAGACCACTCCCCAACGCACCGTTTGGCAGCAGCGGAGGTTGAGGTCTTGTCGGCTTTTTTCTGTGGTAGCCAGTTTTTTGTAGTCCGACAAGCCCGCTCCGACGGCTCGCCGAAATGTACCCTGCCCTGCAATCAGTAAATACTGAAGACCGGACGGCACAGCGGATCCTAATTGTCGGCTACATTTATTTCCGAACACGAACTGATACTCCTTTGCATATGAATACCTTTTAGGAACTTCGATAAAGCACCATTATTGCTTTCGAAGGCTTCTTCGTTCAGCCTTCTATGAGAGGAGCTCTGTAGCAACCTAAAAGATATTTCTTATCTTATGTACACTTTTGTTACTCAATCGTACGATATTGGTTTTTGTTTTAATGCCGACCCTACGGCCATTCTTACCTACATCCGACTCATCACTTGTGTCCACCGTGAGTTCCGACACTGACGTACGCTCTCGTCGCTTCATCCGCTTTTCGTTCGATTGTAGCCTTTCTCGAATACAATCCGTTGTGTCCGTTCTTCTGGTTTTCTGGTATCTACACCAGAGCAAGAACACTCTCGGACTAGTATAGACAAGTCCTCCAGGTGAAATGTAATTAGAGTGCTTTTCATACTCTTGTGGACCCAATGTGCTAAAAAGAAGGTGCACCTGAGTTGCATCGTCTAGCTCACGCCCATCAATTTTTAAGAAGTCTTAATAGCGGCGAAACCATGCTTCGAAAGAGGTCATCGTCCGGCTGGTAATGAAATTCTGCCATACTGTGCGCCAGCTTGTCTGTAATGGAAACGGTTGAGACCGTAGAGGCTGCCTGTAATGAGAATCGTGTTGTCAGTGTTTCAAGTAAGCATTGCTGTGACGCCTCAAGCTGTGCCTGCTGTTTGGACAGCATTTCTTGAAGAAATTCCAAAGGAACCGTCATGGTTTGCAAACTAGAATGCTGTCGCCAGCCTATTATAACGTCTGACTGCAACACAACCCACTCCGAACGGTAAAAATGAACACACCGCGCTGGGACACCTGAATTGAAAATCTGAAATGCCGAAGCAAACACGATGCACAAAGACCACTAGATCAATCAGCCAACCACATGAAAGGACATGGTCATGGGTGGTAAGCGGCCTAACGGAACGACTGTGGTGCGAGCGCGCAACACAGTCGCGTGACAGGACAGTCACGAATGTCAAAAAATCTAGCCGTCAAGTGCGAGCCAGTGTAACATTCTTCTACCAACCGTTTCACCTTATTCAAGAGAAAGGCACAAAACACAATAATTAATTCTCACCTGATCATAAACGAATCCCCGGGGAACCAGGATCAAGATGCAAGAAACCGAGTAACAGTCTTAATAATGCCTGGAGGCAGTCATTAAACCAATAGGCTAGCTGAGCATCGCAGCCCTGGAGGTGGAACAACGTTTTAATCTATCAAGCTGCTCTACCCGAGTCAGTGTAGCGGTTCCACAGCGAAATAGGGACATTTGTATCGTACTGATCAAAGGTAAGGAGGCACTAAATGTGCGCGTTCCACTCGCATTCACGGAGAAATGGACGCCACAAACGCATTAACAAGAAGCCAGAGGCAGCACTGCATCGTATCGGATTACCTGTGAAACGATTCAGCATGCGCAATATCATCTCACCTATGGAGTGAATAATGTGGCAGTGAATCCATTTGACCTACTGGTGGCGCTGGATTGAATTGTGCCAGCATATGCTCGTGTAAATTAGTTAAGGAACTGACCAACGGATAACTGGCACGTCAAGAGTCGGATTGCATTTGTGGGTGTGTATCGGAGGATTTCCATCCTAACCTCCCCCACCTGAGCGCCACTATCTACCATCTTCTAAAATTCACTCGGACATATCCACCACAAACACCACTCCATGTTCATGAATGCCGAGTTGTGAGAATATCCTCCTCTCTGAGCGAGCGCGCAACTGCCCTTTAGCGACAATGATGGAAATTGGAAGCCGCGCTCTGGTTTCAGTTGTCATTTAGGCGTCAGCAGTACGCCAGTACGCAATACCGGCGCTTCACTGCCACTCAACCACTACCAGTTGCACGTGAGCAAAGCGCATACCAAATAATGGAATCACTCTAGACAGGCTATTCAGGATTGATCGTGCCGCCGCAACATCGTCAAAAAACAAGACGATATCGTCCGCATAATCAAGATCAAATAATCTTTCACCAGGCGGCATTTCAACGCCTACATCGTGAGATTCCGCAAGGGAACACTCCATGGTAAAATCCACGACGAAATTGAACAAAAATTGGGAAATCGGACAGCGCCGACGAACGCCACTTGTGGTCGGAAAGCTATCCGATAGGTCACTGTAGACCCTGACGCGGCCTGTAGTGTTCGAGTATAGAGCATGTAGGATGTTCACATTTCGGGCAACACCTTTCCGCGCAAGTATTTCGAACGGAATGCATCGATCGACTGGATCGAAGACACGCTTCGAATCGAGGAACACAGCTATTGTCAGTCTGCGTGGCGTTGCTCTAGCACCTGCCGCAAAGTGAATATATGGATCGCCCTGTCTCTACGCAGACTCGAATCCGTACCGTCAGATTATAAGGCAAGCTACGGGCCGACCAGTAGTGTCTGCTCAAGTGATTATCAATCACAAATTCGCCATCCGTATTCCCGTCCATTTCCAGTTCATTCATAACTGAGTCTGCTGATGGGCTAAGATATATATATATATTGCATTATAATAATAAATAATAATAATATTTTGCATAGTAATTTCTTTTGATGCACAGTAGCCGCCTAGTAGCTTACCGGAACGATGCCCATCCGTTACCGGTAGCTCAGCCGGCTTGAACCAGTTGCTTTTTTTTCCTTTTTTCTATATATTGCGGCACAGTAGCTGAGGTGTTCCCCACCTCTGGCTAACATGTATGATGATGATGGGCTACATGTAGTCGGTCATCCAGTCTCGGGCTTGTCCACATCTGCCAACTTTCGAGAGTGCGTTGCTGAGCGCTAGACGACAAAATAGGTTTGAGTGTTATTTATTTGAAGCGTCTCCCAATCAGGACCTTAAAACTTGCACTCGCACAGTTGTCAATATAGCGTAAATGATTGTGCGAGCACGCAGTGTTAGTGCTGCCGACAATCAAAGAAGTTTGAATCACTCTAGCGAAGAACACATCACAGTGGTCTTACCTAGCAATGCTGAGTAGTGATAGGTTACAATGAAGTATAAGTAGAGATAAACTGGTCATAATTCCACGCACTCCAATAAGAGATTAAGCATATGTATACAGCAGAAGCTTTCATACGAGGCAAAGTTCGTGTTGCAATGATGAAAACCCGGTGAGCCTGACGTCAGCAACTCCTTTGCGATAGTAGAAGGGAAAGTTAATCGAAGACAATAAACCCACCGAGTTAACCAGGCAAGCACCACGATGCGTTGGCCTATGCATCATACGCTGGTGGACCCAAATTGCAAAATATGCCAAGCAGAATGGGTGAAATGTATACTTGCGTGAAACCCATTTCAGTGACTTAGCCTAAGCCAACAAAATAACTTCACCAGAATGTGTGTGGTTAGTAACTGAACAATGATGTCTTGTGCATCCATAGTAGATGAAGATACGTGTGCCACGGCGACACCAAACGAGTGGTGAGCCGTTGAATGTCTCACATTTGGAGATGAGAAGCTTGGCTCGTCAGTCAGCTATCAGGATGTCCTTAGTCGCAGACCACTATGCTTTGGTCGCACGCAGTGAGGATCAGCTGCGACGTAGGTGGCCACTAATTCAGGTCATATCGCATGTCATTGGTATAGAAGCACATGTTAGTGGCTCAAGTTGTTCACTTAGCAGTCAAAATCTTAACTAGTCTGGCAAGTTTGTTACAGACGTTTCACCACCAGTCGAGATGACATCAGCGCAGCTGAGTCGCATCCAGAGGATCCTCCGGCAAATGCAGCGATCGGAGGGAAGCTAGCATGCATCGATGGAGCTCTGCTCAGGCCAGTTTACACATTTCTCGTTCTCATATCATCGACTAGCCAGGTTAAAGCTTCACCCAATCAGATAGGGCGTCTAGAGTGGGGGGACGGTAAATACGTAGCGATCTAACTAATGTGCGGGTTTAACTCCGAAACACAACCTGATGAAGTGAAGAGAGAACCGACGAGCTCCTGTACACAAAATGGGACTGGACACCACGAAAAGCAAATCAAATGATGTAGATAGGTCGGATGGCTCAACTGAGTGGATTAAAAGAATGAAGACATAGGGGATCAACATGTTTAGGATAAAATGAAGAAACAATCTGGTACAGTCCAGGCAACATTAAAAATCAGCAACATGTTTGTCTACGGCATCGCAATGCCTCCATGTGGTATGGTTAAAGGGGTGCAAACATATTTTCAAAGAGGAGGGCAAACAGTTAGGCCGTACTATCCGAATTGTTGACACCGCGATAGTGGTCGAATTTTTTGAGTAATTCGAAAGCATCTTCTTCCGTCTTCACGCGCACCAGCATGGGGACTGGCTTGGCTGCAGTGTCATCTTCAGATGGCTTGGACACCGATGCAGGCAAAGGTGGCAGTGGAACACAGACCAAGGTTAAATTGTTTTTCTGTTGTTTGATGGGGATCTCCTTTGTGATGAGCACATTAAGAAGGATGTTGCCTAAAGAAAGATAAGACACACGCAAAGCAATATCTTGAGATGAACCAAGAAAAGAAAGGATAAAAACTGCGATAAAATGGCTTATTCGCTAAACTTATCGGACATGAGGCAAAAGGATACATAAGAGGTATTCCAACCAGCGATCAAAAACTGAGATGCACCGCCGAGAACAGGTTTCAAAAATCAGGCCAATTACAGTTGCGAAAACGTTTACGAGCAGTAGATAGACAGAAAGCTGGAGCTGATCGACAAGATAACAGTCAGTGAGACAAAGAAGCTGTGTGTGTGTGTGGGGGGGGGAATTATAGGTCAGATCGGATCACTCGGTCCATCGCAGAACAGTAGAAAATGAACCTGTCCTGGAAGAATATGTGGTCACCCAAAATGGCGGAGAAACTAAGCTTTATGAGACGTTAAGTTTTGTCGTTGAAACAATGGGAGCAAAATGGCGAAGTTTGATACGAACTTCGCAATATTAGACATCAGGATACTCAGTAAATTGCGGAAGGCGATACGTGTAATATATAAATGTTGGCGACAGTTTCCACAACCTCTCCGATTCACTGAGCAATACGGAGTGGAGGATCTTGAGGCATTAAGATATTCCAATTCCCACAGTCTGTGGGTTGAAACTAGGGTGAAGCCAGCTATTATGATAATGGCACATTTTGTGGGCCGTCGTCAAGTCCTCGCTGTTTTACGCAAGGACTTGGGCTCAGGCACACATTTATAACACAACACGGTGTCTCAAACTACACACAACGATGATTCTCTACCCAAACTCGAGCGCCATCCGGTAACGGTCGTCACAAAAGTCAGGAGATCGCTGTCTGTTACATAGAGTAGGGCAGAAAAACAAACCACCCCATTTCGGATACTTCGCTTCTTTCCCCGTTCAGGTGTACATTTTGCAAACCCCTTGATTTCTTTTGTCAAACTTCCCTCCGCAGTCCCTAGGGCAAGCAAGGATGGCCGTATTAGGTTGGCCGGAAGCACCTGTGTCATCACAGCTCCCAAAAGAATCCCGCATTAAAAGTCTCGAGTTCCTTATGAATATTCATCGTTCGTATTGCGAGCAAGAGTGGCCCACACAATACACCTGTACGTGCACCGGACACCCTACGTGTTGTTGCATGAGAAAACATAGAAAACATGATGCACGACCATAAAGCGGTCACTGGTTTCATTGGAAAGTCATTTTCAGGCTATCAAGTGTGGATAGATTAGGAATATGTTGGCAACTTTTGTGGTTACTAAGACTGACTTACTCCGTCGAATTTTTGAGAGAAAACGTTGGTGCTGCACACAATTTGCGATTTCCTGCCTCAGACTACATAATTAGTGGTATGAGTCAAGAAATCTGGATAGAATTGATCTGCAATCCTTTACACTATTTTGCCATCTGTAGCTGATTGCGATGTGGTCAATCTGAGACTATGAGTGCATTGTAGAAGGGGTGCGTCACGCAACACCTCGCATGTTCTAGGATAACTGGTTGCGGTATGGAGTTAATCGCCGGATTAAACTATCTTAACTTCAGGAAACAGACGCAAGTGCGATTCTTCAACGATTGCAAGTAAGATGTATCGGATTCGACGAAAGTTCAAGCATACAGCAGACTTATCTTTATTAGTTCAGCAGTCTATCATGGTTTAACAAGTCAAATATCTAAAAATCTCATTATAGAAAGGTGCGAAGCCCTAAAAGACCAATGCAAAATCACTAGTCTATCGAAGCATTCACTACCAGAGATCATCGCGGCAACTGACTCTTCCTGGTGGTCCGTTTTGTTTTCTAATGATTAATATATTGCGTTCGTTTGACAAGCATGCTTTGTAGAGATATGTATATACTTAAGGCACAGCACTTTGCGAAATTGCTCTATGGCGAAGACTTTGGTCAAGATCTCCACCTCCATCTGACTTTACTTAGTTTTACTGATGATGGCGACGACGACCCGATAGAATATGCAGTAGCGTTCTCTGATGCTGCTGCGAATTCAAATCAAAATAAATTTTATGTACTCAAATGGGTGCGTTTTCAACCTTTTACGTTATCAACTACAAATGTACTAAACTGGCACCAAAAATGCACAGTTGTACAACTGGGTAGGCAAGAATAAGACGTGAGCACGGTAATCACTCAGGTAAATGGTCCGACTTTCCAGAGCAGCGATCGCACAACGACGGACACGACAACATCAACAACAACAGAATCCTCGAGATTAGCAGGGTCAACGAGGCAAAGTTTTACTAAAAATTTTCTTCGTAACTAGTTCCTGCTGACATAAAAACCCCTGTCCAAAAGCAATAAACCGGGAATGGTGGCAGCATTTCAGTAATTGTAGTCAAAAGGTGGACAGAATGGGACGGTTTTAGTGACCTTGGAAATTGAACAAACAATCTGCCAGACTATTCTTGCATAACTGATATATCTACAATAGATAAGGTAAAAATAGTGCTAGGCGAAATAGGCAATGGCCAATTTAAGGGGTCCGTCCCGGAAATGATGCCGTAAGTTGAAGCGCCAGTGGTTATCACAATTTCTCGAGCAGAGTCACAGTGTCGACCGATGATCGAGGCATAGCATCCATATTACCTCCCTTGAGTGCTCTTTGGTCTGTTTCTGGCTCCATTCAACGTTAACCTCTGGACAGTAGCTGGTTAAGCGAACCACGTTGAAACTGTGTGTCGCAAGAATAGAGTGCACTGACTGATCTCGTCTAAGGACATCTTTAAGAGGAGGAATCTTCCTGACAGCCTTGATCTTTACTGGGTCTGGATGCCCTCCATCTTTACCAATTATAAAGTGGAGGAATGTGACTAAGTTCATGACAAGCATGCGTTGCTCAAAAGCTTTCCTGAATCCATATTCAAGAACAGGATAAATCTCTTGCAATAAATCAACAGCACGTATACAGACAACAATAAGATGACCCACGCACGAGGCAGTTTTGAAGTCGGCATTGCAATAATGAGCCACCAGTGGCCGCTAAGCTGCGAGATTTCTTTCGAACACTGTGGGCTAACATAGACAGTGGCTGGGAGACCTGTAAAAGGGGTTTCCTGCATTCACATCTGCGGCAATTCTGGCGGATGTTCCGAATGAAAAGGCACTACGCCACAAAATGTTACCCGCAATTCCCGCGGGGCAGTGGTGGTAAGCCTAAGGAAAACTGCCAGTGATCAGTTATCCCTAGCCATAATTCACCTGCACCCGCTAGTGACCTGTCACGTGGAAAATTAGGAATGGCTGTGCTGACCCGACTGCTAACCAGTGTGTCATTGGAACGGTGAGACAACAACACGTTTGGAATTGGTGAAGGGCTCGCGTTTCCAAAGTAACAGCGTGTGCAACTCGGAGGCAGAGAGACAAACAGTTCGCTGCGGTGCGCTCTTTTTGTTCCTAACTAAATTGACCAGTTCCCGGGAGTTACCAATTTTACCAGCATTATATTAGATGAGAATTTTCAGTTTAAGATCAGAAGCTAGCAATCAGTGTTTTAGCTTCTCTGATTTTGCTTCAATGCATGTTACTTCGCTTTCATTATCATGTCCACAGTAAGAAAACGCTTGATGAGGAAAAAAGTACTATAGGCCAGGATGCTTACATTTTAGTTCAAAATGTGAGACAACAAACTAAGGTAATTCGCACAAAGGCTGGAAGCAGTAGTAAAAAAATACCCAAAGCAGTGTAGGCACTGTAGGGAATTCCTTTGGACTACATGCTGACCCGAAAAATGTCCATGCGTAGCTGAAACTGCATACGCTGAACTTGCATTAAAAGTCGACATGCTCACATCGATATTGTAACCTTTGCAGAGTCTAGCTGCCTTATCTGAATCGTCCTCAAATATTAATAACATGAACCTCATGAAGTGCAGTGTACTGATAGACTCCATTTCGACCGAAGTACACAATCGAGTACGCTGTTCACGTAATGCAGTGGTTTTTATTGTGCCAGACAATTTGCCATTAAAAATTTGCAGAAAGTGCTTTTCACTGCATGCGGTATGCAATCTCGTTGGTCCAGGCTGCATCAGACTACGCAAAAATGTAATGCGTTACGCGTGTCTTATACTTTTCCAGTTTAAAAATGAACCTTTTGCTAAAAAACTCATTCAAAAGCGCAATCTCATTGTGCTGAATACGACTTTCAAACGTCTGAAAACTATGGAGGATAAAACCCCGCTACAACGATAGGTAAGGAGGCGAAAGTCTGAGGTAAACCAGAATACCAAACAGCCATATGGCGCCCCGCATCCAATTCATATTGCTCCACTTAGTGGCTACCACAAATGTGAGAATAATACTTCGCTTGCTGCAAATAGGGGCGAAGTAATTAATAATAAAGTGATTTTTGAACTTAACAAGGCATCACATGAATATACGGGACACTCTATTGCATTAGATGCTGTGTCCCGTAGAACACCTAATTTTCGCACTTCGGAGTTAAGAGCAGCGTCAGACGCAAAATTGGTTACTGGAAGATCTCTATCAGGGTGCAGTTTCACGTCTAAGCATGATAAGCCAAACAAGCCCAAAACGACTACAATCCACAAAACTAGTGATGTGCATGGTGCTTCCTCTTGGATAATCAGTTCTGTCAGTCATAGGGTTTCCTAATGCTGTTTCCTACATGAGAAGTGACAGTAATGTGGATCAGCGAATAACAACTGCATTACCTGCTAAATCCCAGTTGCATGCGAAACCGCTATCTCAAACCTCAAACTGTTATGTTCCGCCTAAAGTCTGCTCTGGCCGGCGTCTAAACTCACCGAGAATATCGATGAATCCAGTTAGAGTGATCGATAGTAAAAGGACAGTTGATCCTGATTTATCGCAAGTGTCATTGAGCGACTCTGTATCGTCATTTTGTTTGGACAGACGTACATCCACTGGTCATAAAGTTATGGAAAACGTGCCACCCTCTTTGCACCTTACACACGGTGTAATTGAGTACTACGACTTTCCGATTCCAGTAACGAAAACCTGATAGTG